CATATATATATATATATATATATATGTAAAGAAAAACAGACAGTTGTAAATAAAATGGCCGAAATTGTTATTCTACAGTATTTTATTGCAGTGGTTTATTTTTTAAAATGACTAGAGAAATGTGGAAGTTTTTGACAATGGTACATCCTTTTGAAACGCATGTCCTACATATTAGAAGTATTTGGCAGAGATTTATATTCTCTACAGATGAAGATCAATTTTCCCTGAAATCTTTTGGTAGGATCTTAATGAATGGTCAGCATATTGGAGAAATTTAATGTGTTTAAACACAAATTTCAACTTAATCTGATGTTTCTTGGTAGAATCTTGTCTGCTGGAAGTGTTGTTGCATACAGAAGTTGAGTATGTTACAGTACAACAATTTTCAAGCCTCACCATGTCATACAGTCTCTTTTGCCACATCCAGTCATGCTTTATTTGATGATTGTGCATCTTGACAAGATCACTGCAGTGTATTTTTCATTGAAGAAGGCTCAGTCATATGACTGTCAAATACAAAGCTTACCACCTCTCCCTAAAAGATTTCCACGAGCCATCTTGTGATCAAGGACAAAAGTTTTCCAGCGCCTGTTTCAAAAGTCCACTTACACAGAATTCCATAGGCGATGTATCCACCAGCTTGACCTAACTGATCAAACAATGCATTCTAATAATTATAAGTATGAAAATTATATTTAATTAGTTATATTCATTATGTTGATTTTTACTTTTGATCTAAGTAAGTAGTTTGTTTTGATTGGAAGTTAATATTAATTCATATAGAATAGCATGAACGTTCTCCAGCTCTTTAAGGCACGTGATGGTTGAAAGAATATGTCATAGAAGCAACGTCACTTTTCCAGCTGGAGATATTTCTTGATTTGGTTGAGCACTGTTGCCCGAGATATGTGGACAGTTTTTGCCACATACCCACATTAGCAAATTCTTGCCTGTTACAAAATGCAGTACTCTTTACCACAGCCAGCATACAATTTGTTGCAGATTTCTTTCTGGATGGCCCGAGTGTTCTAAATGGATCGACATTCTTTTGTTTTCCAATGCAGTTAAGTACAAAGGGATATCTCCATCTTGGAAATTATAAATCCCTTATCTGAACAAATCTTTATAATACTAGTTTAAGAATATTTTGTACCAGAAAGGGCTGTTACATACAAAACCTAAGAAATGTCAAAATATAGATGAGATAAATGTCATTACACCATGACTATATTAACTGTGGTTCAAGTGACTAGCCAATTTGTATATTGAAAATTATCTTCATATAACACACTAAACCCTCTATATTTTACTAATGTCAAAAGATGGAGACATTAACTCAAGTATCTTGGTAAGTAAAGTCTTTCTGGATGCTGGAAGTGCTATAAAACAAATTTGCATTGTCTACAGATGGTGCTTAACCTTGGTTCTAGGTAATTTCACTCCCCCCTTGTAAAAAAAAAAAAATTATGAACATTAAAAGTGACATATATTAAAGATTATTAAAAGTGATGCAGGTTATGAGCTATTGCTCATAAAAAAGTCAATCTTGTTATTTGGATTATATCTAGCAAGAAAAATTTACAGCCATTTCTTCATATCTTTACACTTCCTTTCATAGTAATAGTAACAAATTTAATTTTGACATGAGGAGTGAAATTACTGGGAATCAGTTTACCAGTCATCCTTAACCTTACCCAATGCTTTTTGTCAGTACTTTACTGGAAGTATTGTAAAGAACTTTATATAGTTTCTAGATGAAATTCAACCTTACCTCATGTTTTTTGGTAGGATCTTCTTGAATGCTGGAAGTGTTGTACAGAGCTTTATAGTGTTTACAGATGGCAAGATAAGATCCTTCATGTTGGTCTACTTCGATCATTAGTTTATAAAATTTCAGCTTTAAGTCCTACAAAAAGAAAGTATTCCAGTAAAGAAGAAAGGCAAAGAAAACACATGTAACTTATAAAATCACAAAGAAACCAAGACTTGAAAAACCATACAAAAGAAACCAGATGTTTCAGAGATGTATGCAATTACATTTTAAAATATAAATATTTCTAGATATTCAAACTTGAAATATTTCATAGAAATACTACAGAGAAAATATAAAGATTTTGAATCTTTATAAGATGTGATTTTGTGTTTGCAAGATAAAAACATGCTTACTTCTTAAGCTTTTTTTCTGGATACCACATTTGTTTTACTCTTAACCTCTGTGACCTCTTTATTTAATTTCCATTTTAACTGTGGTGATTTCAAAGTTCTAAAGCATGTGAATGACTGTTGTATAGTATAATTTTTAAAGGTAATTACCCTAGAATATCAAACATTTACATGAAAACTAATTTAATATATAAAGCTATCATTGTGCTTTTACACTTAAATATAAAATTTATTTGCAACAAACATACAAAGCATGAGCACAGTCACAATTTATGATGCATACTACAGAATTGCTAAGACAAACAAATCTGTTATGTTAACACAAGTACAAGTTTAGAACTTAAAACAAGAGTGGTATTTATTTTCAACCTAAATATCACCTTACATGACATGTGAACTAAATGACTAGTTCAAAACCCCAAAATTTCAGAAACAGCCATATCTAATTTAGCAATGCTGACCAGAAGGAGAACAACCAGTCAGCACTACCTACAACTCAGTTGGCTACTCTTAACTGGACAGTGATTATGAATGTCACAGTTATAATGCCCCCAAAGCTGAAAGCACTAAACATATCACAGGCTAAACTTCAGACTTTTCAGTCCACAGCCCAGCAAGCTAACTGCTAGGCCAGGTCTGATGCTACTTGAAATATTTTAAAATCTAATGATTAGTTAGTTGACACAACACTAGTAGAAGAACCTGGTTCATCTGTCTTCTCAAGCCATTAGAATAGTTAACTATATTTTTTACCAAGACAAAAATCTGAGGAAAACTATTAACTGGAATGTGTAACAAGCTTCAAACAATATATCTTTTATTAGAAAGTTTATATTAATTGTTCCTTTTTTGGGGGATATTCACAAACTACCAAATCAAAAAGTAGCAGTCTGTCATTAAACTGCAAACATTGTGTTTGATCTGTATGTAAAATAATCTAGATGCAATAAAACACACACTGAATTGTAAATAACATGCAAAAAAAAAAACAAAAAAAACAAAACACTAGCTAAAGAACAGTTTCTTCGATTCAGTACTG